TACTACAAAGGCCTATACTCAACAAAACTGGAAAACCTGGATGAAATGGACAATTTCCTAGACAGATACCAGGTACCGAAGTTAAACCAGGAGCAGATAAACCATCTAAATAGTCCCATAACCCCTCAGGAAATAGCAGCAGTCATCAAAAGCCTCCCCACTAAAAAAAGCCCAGGACCAGATGGTTTTAGTGCTGAATTCTATCAGACCTTCAAGGAAGACCTAATACCAATTCTCTTCAAACTATTCCACAAAATAGAAACAGAAGGAACACTACCCAATTCGTTCTATGAAGCTACAATTACACTCATACCTAAACCCCACAAGGACCCGACAAAGAAAGAGAACTTCAGACCAATCTCCCTTATGAACATCGATGCAAAAATACTCAATAAAATTCTAGCAAACCGAATCCAAGACCACATCAAAACAATCATCCATCATGATCAAGTAGGTTTTATCCCAGGAATGCAGGGATGGTTCAATATTCGGAAATCCATCAATGTAATCCACTATATAAACAAACTTAAAGAAAAAAACCACATGATCATCTCACTAGATGCTGAGAAAGCATTTGACAAAATTCAACATCCCTTCATGATAAAAGTCTTGGAAAGATCAGGAATTCAAGGCCCCTACCTAAACATAGTAAAAGCAATTTACAGCAAACCAGTAGCCAACATCAAGCTAAATGGAGAGAAACTTGAAGCAATCCCACTAAGATCAGGGACTAGACAAGGTTGCCCACTCTCCCCCTACCTATTCAATATAGTACTGGAAGTCTTAGCCAGAGCAATTAGACAGCAAAAAGAAGTCAAAGGGATACAAATAGGAAAGGAAGAAGTCAAAATATCGCTATTTGCAGATGATATGATAGTATACTTAAGTGACCCCCAAACTTCCACCAGAGAACTCCTAAACCTGATAAACAACTTCAGCAAAGTGGCTGGTTATAAAATCAACTCAAACAAATCAGTAGCCTTCCTCTACATGAAAGATAAACAGACTGAAAAAGAAATTAGGGAAATGACACCCTTCACAATAGTTGCAAATAATATAAAATACCTTGGTGTGAATCTAACCAAGCAAGTGAAAGACCTGTATGACAAGAACTTCAAGTCTCTGAAGAAAGAAATTGAAGAAGATCTCAGAAGATGGAAAGATCTCCCATGCTCATGGATTGGCAGGATTAATATAATAAAAATGGCCATCTTGCCAAAAGCAATCTACAGATTCAATGCAATCCCCATTAAAATCCCAACTCAATTCTTCACAGAGTTAGAAAAGGAAATTCTCAAATTCATATGGAATAACAAAAAACCCAGGATAGCGAAAACTATTCTCAACAATAAAAGAACTTCTGGAGGAATTACCATCCCTGACCTCAAGCTGTACTACAGAGCAATAGTGATAAAAACTACCTGGTATTGGTACAGAGACAGGCAGGAAGATCAATGGAATAGAATTGAAGACCCAGAAATGAACCCACACTCCTATGGTCACTTGATCTTTGACAAAGGAGCTAAAACTGTCCAGTGGAAAAAGGACAGCATTTTCAACAAATGGTGCTGGTTCAACTGGAAGACAACATGTAGAAGAATGAAAATTGATCCATTCTTATCTCCTTGTACAAAGCTCAAGTCTATGTGGATAAAGGACCTCCACATAAAACCAGATACACTGAAACTAATAGAAGAGAAGGTGGGGAAAAGCCTCGAATACTTGGGCACAGGGGAAAAGTTCCTGAACAGAACTCCAATGGCATATGCTCTAAGATCGAGAATTGACAAATGGGACTTCATAAAATTGCAAAGTTTCTGTAAGGCAAAGGACACTGTCAATAGGACAAAACGACAACCAACAAATTGGGAAAAGATCTTTACCAATCCTTCATCTGATAGAGGGCTAATATCCAATATATACAAAGAACTCAAGAAATTAGACTCCAGACAACCAAATTACCCTATTAAAAAATGGGGTATAGAGCTTAACAAAGAATTTTCAACGGAAGAAACTCGAATGGCCGAGAAGCATCTAAAGAAATGTTCAGCATCCTTAGTCGTCAGGGAAATGCAAATCAAAACAACCCTGAGATTCCATCTCACACCAGTCAGAATGGCTAAGATTAAAAACTCAGGTGATAGTAGATGCTGGCGAGGGTGTGGAGAAAGAGGAACACTCCTCCATTGTTGGTGGGACTGCAAGATGGTGCAACCACTTTGGAAATCAGTCTGGCGGTTCCTCAGAAAATTGGACATAGCATTACCCGAGGATCCAGCTATACCACTCCTAGGCATATACCCAGAAGATGCTCGAACATATAACAAGGACATATGCTCAACTATGTTCATAGCAGCCTTATTTATAATAGCCAGGAGCTGGAAAGAACCCAGATGTCCTTCAACTGAGGAATGGATTCAAAAAATGTGGTATATTTACACAATGGAGTATTACTCAGCTATTAAAAACAATGAATTCGAGAGGTTCCTAGGTAAATGGATGGAACTAGAAATTATCATCCTGAGTGAGGTAAGCCAATCACAAAAGAAGACACATGGTATTCACTCACTGATTATTGGATATTAGCCTAGAACCTTGAAATGCCCAAGATGCAACTCACAGGCCACATGAAGCCCATAAAGAAGGAAGACCAAGTGAGGGTGATTCGGTCCTTCTTAGAAGGAGCAACAAAATACTCAAGGGAGCAAATATGGAGACAAAGTGAGGGACAGAAACTGAAGGAGGGGCCGTCTCAAGACCACCCCACCTGAGTATCTATCCCATGTGCAATCACCAAAGGTAGATGCTGATGTGGAAGACAGGAAGTGCATGCTGATAAGAGCCTGATATGGATATCTCCTCAGAGGCCTTCAAGAGTCAGACATATTCAGAGGCAGATGCTCACAACTAGCCATTGAACTGATCATGGGGTTCTCAATGGAGGAGTTAGAGTGAAGACTGAAGGAGCTGAAAGGGTTTGTGGCACCATGAGGAGAGCAACAATACCAACCAACCACAGCTCCCAGGGTCTAAACCACCAGCCTGGGAGCACTTAGGGGGGGATCCAGGGCTTCAGCTGAATATGTAAAAGTGGAGGGCCCTGCTGGGCATAGGTGGAAGAAGAGAACCTTGACCTCATGAAGGCTGGATGCCCCAGGGGGTGGGAATTTTGAGGGTGGGGAGGTGGGAGTGGGGGGGGGTGTAGATAGAGGTTACATCCACAGAGAAGAAGGAGGAGGGGCGAGGGGATTGGAGGTTCCGAGGGGGTGGTGGGGGATGGGGTAAGGGGACAACATAGGAAATGTAAATAAATCATCCAATAAAAAAAAAAAAAAAAAAAAAAAAAAAAAAAAATAACCATCCTTTGATAGTTAAAAAAAAACATATTACTCTGGTAGCAGATACTAACCATGAAGGAGAATCTCCATGTATGGGAATAGGGCATATATAGGTATTGTATATACATTCTGTTTAGTACTATTGTAAACAAAGTCTTCTCTTAAAATTGATATACAAAAGCTGGTAAGATGATTCAGAGGTTAAAGGCATTTTCCATTTAAGTTTGGCAAACTGAACTTAATCCCATGAAATCCACAAAAAGTAGACAGAGAGAACCAAGTCCACAAGGTTGCTATCCGACCTCTATATGTGTGCACATACAGGATGAAAGTAGAAGAGGCACTATGAACATATAAAGAGAGGATTAAAGAGAAAGGAGAGAAACAAAACAAAACTATATAGAGACGCAAAGAACCACATATTTTTCTTATGTGAAATCAAGGTGTGTGTGTGAGTGTGTGTGTGTGACATGAAGGCTGAAGGGGGTTTATTTCCAGCAAGTTGGAGATGGGAGGGATAGAGGAAGGCATTGGGGATTAATGCAAGCAAGATACAGTGAGATATACGTGTAAAGTATCATAATAAGATTATTTTGTTTTGTATTATCGTGTATGTAAAAATTATTGAAAATATTGCTGTGTTTTATTTGATTTGTGATACTTTATACTGATTATAAAAACTTTTAAAATAGAGTTTGAAGGGGTTAGAAAGATGTCTCAGTGGTTAAGAGCACTTGTTGCTTTTACAGAGGACCCTGGATTAATTCCCAGCATCTACATGGTGGCTCACAACCATTTGTAACTCCAGCTCCCAGGGAATCCAATGCCCTCTTCTGAACTCTGAGGGCACCAAGCATGCATAAAATAATTTTTTATTTTTTTTAATTTTTCAAAGGATGTTGAAAGAAAAATGCAAACACCATCTTTTAAAATCATATATTAAAATCATAAAAAGTAACTCAATATTTAAAATAAAAATCCCAATACCTAAAACTAATGTCTTATCAAAAAAAGTTTTAAAACAGCTAACATGTTCCAATAGCGTTTTTCCTACATGATATTTGTGTCTTATAAAGTGTACCCAATGGGAAACATATTAAGACAGGCTAATTAAAGGCTCTAGGTTACTGTCCAACTGTTTCTTATCTTTGACTAAATTTTTAGTGAGTGATATTGTCTTTCAGTTACTTTTGAAGGGATAGAATTTCCTCTTCCTGTCATGTAAACTTCCATAAGCGACAAACTTAACTCAGTCAAACCATACACTTGATCAAATGATCCTGAGCAGAAAGCCTTATCACTTCCTCCTGGGACAACTTTAAATTTTTGTCAACTTCTTTTAAACAGACAACAGTGTCGGCACATGGTAGGCATGCAAGAAATACTATTATGTGAGAGACTTCATGTTTCTAGTCCAAAACTTTCCCATGTCACTGCTGAGGAAACTCAAAGCATGGAGTTCACAGAACAAGTGGCGAGCCCAGGTCTGGAATGTGCAGACATTCAGTTCCTAATATCTAGACAATGGACAGCAGCAGAAGAAAACCATCAAGACTTCTCACTTTCTCCAGGGAGTTATTTTAGTGAAAGGAACTCTGAGCATTTCCCCCTGTCCACAGATAACAAAGATAAAAATAGCTAGGTCAGGAAAATAATATTTACCCTCTTTTGAAATCTGAAATAAACCAGCTTTTCCAGTTTTTGACTGCTCGGTTTTGGTTTGTTGCGATGAGTGATCTTCTGGCAGCTTGGGGCTGTTAAATGGATTCTTCCTTTGCTGGGGGAAAACAGTGTTTATTAAACTTGGTTTAAATGTCATAACAGCATCCCAGCACTAGCAACTGCTTATGAGCACACATATTTAATAGCTTTAACCAGCTCAATCTAGGCATGTTTGGGCCTAGGGCAACTGCTTAGTTTGGTTAGCATAAAATTACTATACATCATACAAAAACATAGATACAATTATATAAAGTATATGCCTTGCCAAAGACCTTTGAGTACATCAGGAGCACATTTTATTGGTAAGAATGACCCTGACTGATAGCAAAGACCTGGTCAAGGGCAAGGAAATCCTAGGTTTCAAATCAGGTCAGATTCCCATCAGGGCCCTTCCTACCATGGCTTACTATATGAGACAATAGCTCTTTGATATTTACTTGCACGATGACTTCAGTCACCTTGAAGTGTTTCACAGTCATTGTTATGGGCACCACTGACAGTAAAGGCTTAAGTGTATACAGACTGGGTTTGTTGCTGTTTTGAGACAGGGCATTCCTAAACAGAGTATACAACGGCTTAGGCTTCACAATATTCCTGCCTCTGATTTTTCATATTAATACAACTGACTATAAATGATTACTGTTTGTAGTTTTAAAAACAGTCAGTTCCCCCTGGAAACAGACCTCTAATAGACATTTGAGAAACTATGCCTAAAAATAAGGACCATGATAGAACTGATAAGCCACATTCCAGAGCCTAAGAACAGCAATACCATACAGGATTTTATTTAATGTTTTACTTTTTACCGAGTCTCACTATACTTCCCTGGCTAGCCTGGAACTAGCTATCTAGACTGAGCTGGCCTGGAACTCACAGAGATCCTACTGTGTCTGTCCCTCTACTCATCCCAAGGCCTGGGATTAAATGATGGGTCACCACCTGACTCTTTTAAAAACAAGTTTAAGGCTTAATTATGTATATATGCTGGGGGATATGTGAGCATGCAGGTGCCCACAGAGGCCAGAAGCATTGGATCTCTGGAGCTGGAGTTACAGCCAGTTAAGAAACTCATGTCCTCCACATCAACAGTGAACTCTCTTCAGCACTGAGGCCAACTATCCCTTCTGCCCTTCAACTGTTTAACTCTTGAGGACAGAAAGAAAGCTGGGCCTTTAGCAACACAAACATAATAATTATCAACTTTATCCACCACAGGAGTGACTTCTTAAACTAAATACCCAAATTATATACACCTGGTACACACAATGAATTACAGGAGTCTCTGTATTTTGTTTTGCTTTGACATGATGAGAAAATTGGCACTCCTGCCGATAATGAGATTTTAACTGTCTGGGCTCAACCTACCTTGGGCAGAGACATAGTTGGAGTCTTCGTATTTTCCTGGGACATATCAATCACACTGGAATCTGGATTCACCACAGTGGAACTGCAAAAGAAACCATCACTCAGAAAATAAAACCTTACCCTGTAGGAGGCATCAATCCATGGCCAAGAGCTAAGACAGGAGAAGGGGAGACATTTGTAAGATCAAACTGCAAGAAGAGAGAAGAAACTGGGCTCCGAACATCATTAGGCACCAAAACAAAGGCAATGGTGGAACAAAGATGTAAGGGTAGCATGAGAGAAGACAAAAACATTTATTAGTGTCCTTGAAGATGTCCAGGGTACAGGCACACAAGAGGTTCACAGCTTAAATTTGCAGAAATTAACTCATTTCAAACTTAGATTTAAGATAAGATACAAGTGAGAAAGTGAGCAATGGGTTTTATGGGTGAAATAAAGTCACAAAATCTTGACTCCATGCAGTATTTCTCCTAATACATATAAAACGTAATTGAAGCAGAGACTCAGTAAGATAAGTGACCTGCCAAGGAGATAGAATGATCAAGTTAGATAGCTATACACAAAGGCTGATGGGTTAGTGCAATTTCTTATGATCTTCATCCCAACAAGTTAATAGATGAATTCTTACTCAGGTACAAAGAGAAAAGTATCAGAAGGCCATTGAGAAAGTGGTGGGTGGACAGATGACTGCAGCTGGTTGATAGAAGTCCACAGGATTCTCTAAACCATGATGTCCTTTTGAGAGGCATCGAAGCCCAGGGTGAAAGTAAACAAAGTTCACAGAGCATGGTGAGTTGAGCAGGTCACACCCTCGACTATGAGTAAGAAGGAAAGTGGGTCACAGAATCCCAGTACAAGAGGGAAATCAGCTTGCTTGTGCCAGGAGTTTTGCCATAGACATAAAATATGAAGTCACTATTGGCTGGAACAGCTGCTTCCTGTTAATCTCCACAAGTTCTTAGTGACATCAGAATCAAGAGTTTGGAAAAATCCTTTGAAGGTGATGTCTCTTTCCCTCACAAAAACAAACAGAAAGGAACAGAAAGCCCAGGCAAGGAAACAATTCACCCTAGGGTCATGGAACCTTGCCCAAGATTGCTGCCACTAAACCTCAAGGCTAACCATTTTGTGGTTTCATTTCTGTACTTGAACTGCTATTTTTCACATTAAGCTCTTAAGAAGGCCATCCCTCCTTCAATCACCTTCTTTATTGATCCAAAAGTAAAGTGCAGCAGAGGAGGTGTCATTGTGGAGCCCAGTCACACAAAGGCAAAGGAAGGAAAAGGTAGGATGTATGAAATGGAAAACACAGGAAGAGCTTGTAATGGAACCAGAATTTGGACAGAAAGGGACCCTTATAGGAAATCTATTCCTGCACTAGATGGACACAAAGCCAAAGCCAAATTAAGTTGTGTCAAAAAGAAGCATGGCCATTGATAGAACTTGGCGTCCACATAATGAAAGGCCAAGATCTCAGAACTGAGAGGCTATTTCTCTCCAGTGTCACTTTAAGACGACCATAGGGGAAACCTAGCCAACTACCCAGTGCCAGTGAAATCATGGGTCTTGGAGGAGAACCTACAACTGCCATTCTATTAAACTAGGATGATTCCTAATTACATTCTAACTCTTTGTCCTTATACCCACAGATAACTTTAATCTTCATCCATCACCAAGCAAAGCTCTTTGCAATAGACAGTGACCATTACAGAAAAACATAACAGGTCAACATGCAGAATCGTGCAGCCCAATCCCAACTGATATACCTATAACACAACTTCTGTACCTTATACCCATGGATCACTGTGGAAGAGGAGACAGACTATAAGAGACAGAGAGGGAGTTTGTTATAAGATCGTGTCTCCTAGAAATGCCAGAGGCTACACCCATGAAATCTTACCAGTGTGGCTGCCAAAGCATGAGCTGAACAAGAACAGCTCCAAAAGACATCCAAACACAGCTGGAGAAAGCCCATCCACACAAAGCCTACACAGGAATGCTGAGAGAAAGAGAGATAGTCTTCCCCAGGAAAGAGTACACTAATCAATTATCCAATAATGGTCAACCCTAAAACCATATACATACAAGTAACATTAAACAGCCTGAACAAGTTGTGTTCATTCACATAGGTAACAACAATTGAAAAAGAGGTCATGGATTTGAAAGAGAGCAAAGGGGAGTATATTGGAGGCTTTTGAGGGAAGAAAGGGAAATAAATGTAATAAATTCCTTATAAAACGAGCCAGTGTGAAATATGGTGAAGAGTATACAGCAGATGCCTGACACAGTGTAAATGATCTCCTTTCGCAAGTAAGGCTGCTGGATAATCACAGATGTTGGGTATCCCCAAAGGGCAGACATAGTTTTTTGATGTCTTGCTCCTTCTCACTATCCAACCCTAAAGGATAAACAGGGCCTCTATGTGATCTTCCCTCTGCATCCAGACTCCAGAGGCCCCAATTGCACATCCTGATTATGACTCTAGAGTTGAAGCCAGTCTCCCCCTTACCGAAGTCAGTCCTAGCATTCTCTTGTTAAACATAATGGTTGCTCTATTCACGTGACTCTTGGTGATTTCCACTCAACTCCGCACTGCATTGTCTGCTGCAGTTGGTCTTGCCATTTTCAAGCAAAACGCAAATCTCCCCTCCTGTAGCATCATTTGTCTCATTATTACACACTTTATTGGCACTTTGGGTTAAGACTTTGCTCCATGCTTGGCATCAGGAGATCAGATCTTTACACAGAAGACCTATATTACCTAAAATTATAATCTTTTAATGGCCATATACTGTATATTTTGTTCCTTAGAATTGCACTCCTCCTAGAGAGAGGTAGAGTCTGTCATAAACATAAAAGATGTTCAAAATATTCCACGTGAAGACAATTTTTTGAGACATGGTATCACTATGTATCCCTGGCTGTCCTATAACTCGCTATGTAGACCAGGCTGAACTTGTACTCACAGAGATACACCTGCCTCTACATCCTAAGTGCTGGAATTAAATGTGTGAGTTACCATGCCTAAATGCATGATGAGATTTTTAAACTGGGAAGAAAGCCAAGTTCCACAGCCTATTCTTTGTAACTTTCTTCTTCTACACATTCTTCAAAAAAATTATCTGTGATACCAGAAGTCACAATTAGACAAAAATTGGCATATTAAGATGATTAAATCACTAGATATCAGTTCTAGTTCTAGAATCAGAAAGAAATTCTGTAAGTGATTAGTTTGATTTTGTTATTCTGATCTCCTTTGTGGCTGTTAAGTTCCATGCAGGGTAGTGTTGTGTGTCTCCCTCAGTCTGGCTCGGTGCTTGGCATATGGTGGTGCTCCATGATGTTTCAAAAAATAAACATATGATGAAATAATCCAGAGACAAACAAAGGATGTGAGTTAGAATATATACTCTAAGCACTTCAAGTCAGTAGTATTTTTGCGAGCACACACACTTCTTTCAACACTATAACAATCTACACCACAGACTTGCTGAGCACATTCCCATCCAAGTATGAGGCAGAATGATGTGCCTGTAGAGATTTTACTACCATAACAGACTGGAGTAAGTCTAAAACCTGATAAGATTAAACATTCTCTTGAGAGTTCAATATAAATGATTTTGTGGGCCAGACATCTTATAAATGAAAGTTTTCTTATTACTGGATTTTCTATCAAACCTTCAAGGGCCTAGGGGAGGGACAAATGTATTGACTCATCCCCATTTTCTTCAAGAGCAAGCTTGTATCTTATAGTGACCTTATGACTGGGGGTTCTAGCAAATAGCTAATTTTTCTGGTAGAAGGAGATGGATATACACAGAGAAAAGCCGTTCCAGACAGAGATCATTAGGTAAAGCAATAGTATTTCAGAGCTGCAGATGAAGTTGAGGTTTACTGGCTCTTTTTTTTTTCCACAAAAGGTAGGAGGGAGGTTGGCGGCAGAGTGAGCATTAGCGAAACGCAGGCACTGAAGCTGCCACTTTGGTTCACTATGCGTATATACAAAACAGTATCTACGTCTGCCCAAACCAAAGGTAAATAGGATGCTGGGAGGTTAACCTTTTTGATTATTTCAGAAAAAATAATTGAATTCTTTTCATTTCAGAAGAAAATGCACCAACATTGAAGAATGAAATGCCATAGTGAAGCCTAGCCCCCTCAACTCATTTTGGAAACGTTCTCCAGAGAGATTGTAGCTTATGGACAGTACACATCCTAACAGCAGCCACCTCTCTCCTGATTCCATGTCTTCCAATTTTCCATCCTTGATTCTCCAGTCCCAGGGCCATGCAGATTCCAGAGGGTATATATTCCAAACCTCATCTTTTTTGCCTACCAGTGTCTGGGAACCCACACACACACAAGCAACCTGTGCACTTTGTATTACTGGATGCTTACACAGGCGCTGTGGTGCTTAGAAGGACACAAACCTAACCTGCTACACCAGATCACATCCACTCCCCAGCAAACCAGAGCATATCAGAACGCCCTATCTAAACAATTGTCCCTCACCATCCTTCAAGAATCATCTTAAGTGTGACTATGTCCAGAATGTCCCTGCAATCCTTCCATCCCATGATGGACAGAATCAGTACTGCTGGCCATGTTCTCAGCCTTTCCAGAGAGTGTGTTCAAGGCTAACTTGAACAACTTAGTAAGAATCTAAAAAAATAATACAGTGAAATAAAACTACACTGAGACTGCAGTTCTGTGATAAGGGGGCTTGTTTAACATGTACAGTGCCCTGAGTTCAACATATAGCATGGAATTAATAAATGTAAAAAGTGAATTAGTGACTGTATCTTCACCATGAATATCTATTTATATTCTCTTCGCCCTATTTTTCTTTGCATCCCATACATTCTAACTCTTTTACCTGTGGCTTACATTTGTCAAAGTGGCTATAATAAAAATAGTCACTGACTTCTATTGGTGACATTTAGTTTTGGGGCCTCTTTCTTACAAGATATCAAGACACTGAGGTGACCACTACCTTCAGTGGCCCTCCTATGAATTGCCTTGTTTAGTTGAAGACTCTGAGCTTTATGAAGATCCTTATAATAAAACAACTCTTAAATCTTATAAACCATCAGTCCTAATCCTTTTTCTAATAAAACTTTCATGTTACAAGGGCGTAGAGCTCTCAGATATCTAACTCTTGCCTGGCTAGATCTTCTTTTTGCTACACAGGAGCTACAGACCACCTGGTCTACCTGCTAGGATGGTACAAATATGTTTGGATTTGCATTTCAGGAAGATGACTATTCAGAAAAAGAAAGGAGATTGAAACTTCCAAGCACACAGGCTTAGTACTGGGAAAAAGTCAAATATTCTTTATAGTTTATTTTATATAATTCATTCTTCCAAGAGAAAGGATGACACTGACAGGCATCTGAAGGATGTGTGACAGGGAAGAGGACAAGGGGCTAGCAGAGAGAAAAACTGGTAGCTTAGAATGCATCCGAGCAATATTTGTTATCTTAGACATCTCACCTAGCCTCTCTGTAACTCTAGAGATAAAACAGTTATAAACCATCAGAGGGTAAGTCTCCAAAGGTAGAATCAAAGAAAAAGAGAGAAAGACAGTGAGAAAGAGAGAGAGAGGGAGAGAGAGAGAGAGAGAGAGAGAGAGAGAGAGAGAGAGAGAGAGAG